TTTACATTTATCTGTGGGTATCCAGGGCTCATGTATGGAATTACTAACCAGCATAACTGAATAATCAGATAAGGGACATTTTGCTATGTCTGCTAGGTGGCTAACGTCTGATCCTCAGAGCCTATGGTTTGGATGGTCAGCAACGCTTGGGCCCACAGGGCCTTGATGGTACTGTTTTGAGTCCTGGTGTGGTGCTGTAGGGTAAGCACTTGGCCGCAAGGTCAGTTTGAACTGTTGGCTCCTCAGAAACCCTTACAGGATTGCTGTGAGTTAGAAGTAACTCGATGGTACCTTTAATATTCTCCTACACTTAACTCAAATGCATCAATTCTGCAGCCTGCCTTATTTACTGTCCAGCTTTCATACACACAGGAAGTTACTGGAAATACCATGCCTTGGGTCAGTTGTGTCTTTGCTCTTGAACACTTTAATGAGGTCTGATGCAGTATATCTGCCTAATGTGCTATGTCCTGTGATTTTTTGGCTGCTGCTTCTGTGAGTGTTGATGGTTGATCCCAGCACAGTGAACACTGACAACCTCAAATCTGTGTTCCATTTCTCTGCATGTTATTTATTGGTCCAGTGGTGAGGATTTTTATTTTCTTTACGTTGAGGTGCAACTGATGCTAAAGGCTGTGGTCTTTGATCATCAATACTTTCAGCAAACAAGGTTGTATCCTCTGTATATAGTAGGTGGTTAGTGAGTCTTCTTCCAATCCTGATGCCATGTTTTTCTTCGTATAATCCAGCTTCTCAAATTATTTGCTCAGTATATGGTTTGAATAAGTATGGTGAAAAGAATACAACGCTGGCACATGCCTTTCCTAATTTTAAATCATTCAGTGTTCCCATGTTCTGTTCAAACAACTGCCTCTTGATTTATGTACAGGTTCCTCATGAGCACAGTTAAGGGTTTCAGAATATTCATTCTGCAGTATTGTCCATAGCTTGTCATGATCCACACAGTCGAAAGTCTTCTCATGGTCAATAAAACACAGATAAACATCTCATTGGTGTTCTCTGCTTTCACCCAAGATCAAGCTGACGTCAGCAGTTAGATATCTTGTCAGTTTGCTGCTGTAGCTGTTTTTGAGTTATTTTTTGGCAACATTTTACTTGTGTGTGATACTAATGGAATTATTATCTGATGATAATAATCTAATGGTATTATTATCTTTGCAACGGGCACACACATGGATCTTTTCAAATCAGTTGGCCAGGTAGCTGCCTTTCAAATTTCTTGGCACATAAATGAGTGAGTGCCTCCAGTACCGCACCAATTTCTAGAAAGATTTCAATTTGTATTACATCACGGCGGTGAGTTAAATGCTTGACCAATCTAGCAGGATAATTTTTTAAAGTTTTTATTAATTGATAGTTTACATTGTAAAAAATGGGTTTTGCACTCAACCAATCCTATTTTGTTTCATGGCAATGATTACAATCCCCTCCATGCACCATCAGTTAACAATATTTGCCTCTATTCCCTCTTTTTTATTTGATGTACAAAAAAAACACAAAAAAACAGGAATATATATAATCATTTGAACAACCAATGGGCACATTTTGAAAACCAGCCTCCTGCCCACTAGCACCCAGCCTTTCTCTTTCCAAGAGTGTAAAGTCCTCTGCTTTTACCTCTCCATGCCTCCATCTCTGATTAGGATCCTGTACTCTGCTCTTGTTCTTCCCTCTTGTCCCTAGGGCCCTCTGTTCCTGGGATACAAGATTAACTACTCCCCCTTCTTTGTTACACAACTTCTACCATATCACGATTAGTCATGATATCAGTTATTCACTATTGAATCTTACGAATCCTTTCCCCATCTCCTTTCACCAGACCCATCGAGACAAAATGAAAACTATTCCGTGGGGTTTCTACCTTCCCCTGCTTACTCTGAAATGAAACTCCCTCTTGAAAAATTGTAAGCCAGCCACTTCGTGCCTTTATATTCCAAGTCCTGTTCACCACCACCACTACGCCCCCATTTTAAGTAGCCAACATCTAAATTGCCTGTCCCTATCAACCTTGTTAAGAATTGGACTGCGAACCACAAGGTCAGCACTTCGAAACTACCAGCTGTTCCGTGGGAGAAAGATGAGGCTTTCTGCTCCTGTAGAGATTTACAGCCTTGGAAACCCTGTACAGTGTCTCTATGAGTTGGAACCGACTCCACGGCACATAACAACAACAACAACATCAACCCTGTGTAGGAGCTCTGGTAGCAAAGTGGTTGTGAACCTCAAGGTCAGCAGTTTGAAACTACCAGCTGTTCTGTAGGAGAAAGACGAGGCTTTCTGCTCCCATAAAGATTTACAGCCTTGGAAACCCTGTTCAGGGACGCTATGGGTCAGAACTGACTCGACGGCACATAATATCAACTCTGTACTAAGAAGATGACGGGCTTAATCCTTGATGTGAAGACTGCTTCCCTGTTGGTAATTTGAGCTACTACCTAAGTAAAGGTCAAGTTCATCAAAGTGTAGCAATTTACACTTACTTCCTGTATCAAATTTCTTTATCTTCAGGCCGTTTTTGTTTGTTTGTTTTTAGCAGGCTAAGTTTTAACTAGGTAA